TCTAAAAATAAATAAGTTCCAACACCAGTAACATAACATGTGGGGAAGAGTGGTGAATTTTTACTTTTTCTCTGAGTTTGAGGTTGTTATCAGCTCAAAATAGGTTGTTTTAACAATATGTTCTAAGCAAGGTTTGAGGTAACCACAAATAGAAACCTGTAGTAGATACAAAAAGGATGAAGAGAATCAGCTGTATCGCTGCAAAAAAAAGAAAAATCACAAAGACATTGTAGAGGAATAGATGACAGATGAACTACCAAACATAATGAATTAAATGAAAATTCAGGTCAAGTGTCTGGTACAAGAATTTGAAATCCAAAATGCCCTGAAATCTAAGACTTTTTTAAAAAAAGATTTATTATTGTTATTGAATTTATTGAATAGAGAAGAAGAGCGAGGAAGATCTTCCAGCTGCTGGTTTATTCCCCAAATGGCCTCAACAGCCGGAGTTGAGCTAATCTGACTACTACCAGTTAGGGCGGGGAGGGTCGAGACATGGGCCAGATGCTGTTCTATATATTAACATCTTATTTACAATGCTAATACAAATATAATAAATATAAAACTTCAATAAAAGTAAGAAAAACATTTTAAGATTTATTTACTTACTGGTGGAAAGGCAGAGTTACAGAGAAAGTGAGTGAGAGACAGAGATCTTCCATCTGCTGGTTCACTCTCCAAATGGCTCAAAGGGCTGGGGCTGAGCTAGTCCAAAGCCAGGAGCCAGGAGCTCTTTGTGGATCTCCACCTGGGTGCAGGGATCCAAGCCATCTTCTGCTGTATTCCCAGGCACATTGAAAGGGAGCTGGGTCAGAAGTGGAGCAGCCACAGGAGTGGGAGTGGGCACAGTAGGGAAATGGTGGGCACCTCCCTCTTGGGTTGCCACTCCCACTGAAGAGCATGAAAACCAAGATTGGGGCAGACATGGCTAGATAGAACGGCACCCACCGTCATGTGTGCGGGCCGAATAGTAGGGCTGCTTGGGTTGAACTAGACTTCAATGTCCATTGACATGTATGAGCACTGAATGGGATGTGGGACAGACTGGACCAGTCTGCTGTACATGCTGGCAAGCATGGAAACCAGGGCAGGGGTGGGCCTAGTGGGGGTTTTTGTGAATCACTCCAACTAGACTGCAGCTCTCACTGGTTTATGTGAGGCCAAGTATGTGGTGGACAGTATCAGGCTGTTCTCCAACACCCATTGGTTATGTGGAAGACAGGGCTGGAGACAGAACTGACCCAGCAATTGCAACCACCAGCACATGCATAAGCTGACTGAGGCAACGGACTTTGCCGGTCGCTATACTGGCATGCCCACACAAGAATCAGGTCTAGGATCACCTTGATGAAGTTTCCTTGGGGATTCCTCCAGCTGAACTGCTGATGTCACAACTCCAACCATGAAGAGAAGTGTAGCTTCCATGGTCTGACCATGAAGTGCATGTATCAAAGCTGAGCCTCCTCAGAGGCTCAGACAGAGCAGTGGACAGCATCTCCAGGTGCGCTGGAGGATATGGCAGTCTGTCGGAACCTGCAGAGGACACCTGGTACCACAGCAGAGGATGGAGGACAGAAAAATCAATCATCTACCCCAGCCATGTGTTGGCAGTGAAAATCTGGGCAAATGGAGACTCTAAAGTGGACTATGTCAGCCAATGGATTCTGGAGAGTTTTAATCATCCTTGGAATGGCGAGATTGGCAGCAATTTAGAAGTGTTGAACTATCAAAACTGCTTGAGCAGTGCCCTTGGAGCATTCCCCACATCAGGGACATGGGATGGGATGGGCGGGAGGTTGGGTGGGCTTCTCCCTTTATCTCCCTCCTTACCCCAGAAACAGAAAATTTTTTTTAAAGATTTATTTTTATTATTTTTTCATTGGAAAGGTGTATATACAGAGAGAAGAGACAGAGAGGAAGACCTTCCGTCCGATGATTCACTCCCCAAGTGAGCACAACGGGCCGATACTATGCCGATCCAAAGCCAGGAGCCTCTTCCGGGTCTCCCACACGGGTGCAGGGTCCCAAAGCTTTGGGCCGTCCTCCACTGCTTTCCCAGGCCACAGGCAGGGAGCTGGAAGGGAAGCGGGGCTGCCGGGATTAGAACCGGTGCCCATATGGGATCCCGGGCGTGCAAGGTGAGGACCTTTAACCACTTGCGCCACCGCGCCGGGCCCCAGAAAATTTTTTTAAAAAGCGAGAGAAAGAATGTGGAAACAATGGTCTTACCCACTTTCCTGTAGCCCTCGACCCTTGGTGCCCTAATCAACTATGTAAAGATTATCAAAATAAAATAAAATAGTAATAAAACAAGTGGAGCAGCCAGGACACAATGTGGCATCAATAGTGATACCAGGCTGTGAACCACTGCCCACACTGCTGCCCAACTGCAACTCTTTAGCACTATAACATTCATGTTGAATGTCTTTTCCCATCTTTTCATTTTAACCCTACTTTTGTCTCTGTATTTAACTTGGGGTGATTGGTAGTTGCCATATAGTTGGCTCTTGCTTTTTTGTGCAACCAGATAACCTCTGCATTGAGTGTTCTTTTAGATTATCTCCATATAATGGAACAAACATGATTTGATTAATAATTTTCCACCTCACTGTTTCCTCTTTATTCTGTCTCCTCTTCAATCATTTCCCCCCACTGCTCCTTGTCTAGTCTGTTGTGCGAGAAGGCACTAAATACATGTGGTTGAACTTCTGCATATGGGATGTCCGTATCTGGGGATTCAGCCACCTGTAGGTGCTGTGTGCTTTGCAGTGAAGTGTCCGTGGCCGCCTCTGTGCAGCATTGAATCTGAGAGCCATTTTGCTTACTTGTCATCAATCCCTAGACAACGTAGTATGTCCAGTACATCCACAGCACCTGTTACACTGTATTAGCTATGAGCAGGAAGTGTATGGAGGGGGTATGTAGGTTACACGTAAATGTTTTGCCAATAAAAGTTACTTACCTGGAAGGCAGAGTGAAGAGAGAGAGAGAGAGGGAGTAAAAGAGAGCACAAACTGCCCACTGATTCAGAAGGGAATGGAGCCAGCCGGTCAGGGGCCAAAGCCAGGAGCTGGAAACCCAATCAGAATTCCCATGTGGGCAGCAGGGGTCTGACTACTCAGGCCATCACCACTAGAGGCCATTTCCAGGCCACCCGGGCATACATTGCTTTACCCATACTCCCCTCCACCCGGTGATCTTCATCGCATTTTGTTTGGATGCCAGCTATTTGCAGTTGTCTTGCTGTAGTAACTTGCCAACTTGGCCTGAGCCACTTGTCTCTATCTTGAATTCAAGAACCACATGTGTCCCTTGACGTCTGTGACTGCAGAGCCTGGGGAAGGAGCAGAGCCTCTTTCCACATAAGTTTTTAAAGACCTGTCTCTGGGCTCAGTAACAGAGCTGAGGGGTGCCTGTCCCAGGGGATCCTTTGGGAGAGCATCTCCTGGGTCCTTACTCCCAGCATCCAGAACAACCATGGCCAGCTACCGTGTGGAGGAAGCATCCCCTAAATTCTCAAATTTCAGTCTGAAATCCGAAGATTTAAATATCATTTAGATGAGACACAGCCATCAGATCACTTATTTTGAAAGTTAAGGTTATTCTTCAAATCCAGTGTGCCCCGTATCATGCTTGCTCTACACATGTCAGAGGCAGGAGGGCAGAAGTTCCCAACTCCATGCCAGGCTGCCACATGGCTGGCAGCACCTTGCTGCCCTCAAGGTCATCAACCTGAATGTGGGGCCCAAAGCCACAGTGCACACAGCCACCTGTAACCCAACAGAATATCCTTGTGATGAAGAGCCAAGCCTTGGCCGGGGCGAAAGCCGCCAGGATGTGTCCACAGGGGGAGACCCCTGGCCACTTCCCTAGGGCATCTCTGCTTGTCTGGCTGTCACATACTACACACTGAGGTTAAAGGATGTCCAAGTGGCTTTCAGACCTCAGCAGGACCCACCCACAGGCCTTATTCCTGAGGAAGCAGGTGCTGGCTAGCATACACGTGTCCATAGTTTTGCTTCAAAATAGATTAGCCCTGGTCGGGTGGTCACCCACATGTCCAAAGCCTTCGCCAAGGAGAGGACACTTCACACTTCAGCTCTCACATCACCAGTGCGGGCTCACCCATAGGCTGGCTGGCTGAGGGGTAAGGGGCATGAAAGTGCAGTCCAGGGCTGGCAGGATGGCACCGATGTGGGCATTCTCCAGCTAGAAGTCGCATTAGCCCAGATGCCATTGGCAGCATTAGACCACTCCCACAGCCGCTGTGACACAGTATGGGCAATTGCCCCTGTGCCCCTGCCTGTTAGCTGGTGGGCATAGCTCACCCCTTACCTACCCATGACCTGAGGCACTGCTTACAGCCCTACACGCAGAACTTGACCTCTGACATGACTGCAAGGTCAAGGGAAATAGACACGCTTTATAGCCACTTAGAGCGTCTTTGGCGGGTGGATGGGCATCAGAGAGGTGGCACACAGGTAAGGCTGGATTGAGAAGCTGTGCCCTTGAGGCCTGCAGGGAGACAGGCTGCAGCCAGAGGTCAGATGTTGGCTGAGGTGAGATGTGACTCAAACCCAAAAGGAAAAAAAAAAAAAAAAAAGCCACCGATCCTAGGTGCTACCCTCCATGGAGCCAGCAGGGTGGGCTGGAAAAGAGAGTGGAGCTGTCCACTGGACAGCATGCTTCCTTGATTTCTTCCCTTCCTAGCACAGAGTCCTGGAAGGGCAAAGGATGAAAGGGTGAGGGGGAGGGGAGGGAAAGGCAGCAAGAATCATGGGCATTTGAGTATATGAAAGCACAGAGCCCCAGCAGAGGCTGGCAGACCACTGCGCGTGGGAACCAGCTGACATTGACTCCTGTCTATCTCCTGTGGCAACCAGGGAGGGTTGGAAATGGGGAGCCCTTTGGGGACTTCTCAGGCATACCAACAAACATCATGCCCCAGTTTTGGGGTTGCAGGAGGAGTTGAGGGGGATCTTGATAAACTGCCACCCTACCACCACCACCACCATCACCACCATGTACCCGGAGGAGGCGGAAGCCTAGCGGCGGGACCTGGGAGGATTCTCCAGAGTGGGGCATGGCCAGTCAAGGCCCAGGAGTTCTGGATCTCAGCCCAACTCTACCTGCCTGTGTGAAGCCATGCAGGCACCCGACCGGTTCACAGACCAACTGTGGATTTTTTGCAGCCAGGACTTGAAAACTGAATATCTACAGTGAAGTCAGAAACATATTGGGCCCGGCACGATAACCTAACAGCTAAAGTCCTCACCTTACACTGCCGGGATCCAATAGGGGCACCAGTTCTAATCCCAGCAGCCCTGCTTCCCATTCAGTTCCCTGCTTGTGGCCTGGGAAAGCAGTCGAGGACGGCCCAAAGCCTTGGGACCCCGCACCTGCGTGGGAGAACTAGAAGAATCTCCTGGCTTCGGATTGGCTCAGCTTCGGCCATTGCGGTCACTTGGGGAGTGACTTAGTGGATGGAAGATCTTCCTCTCTGTCTCTCGTCCTCTCTGTATCTGACTTTGCAATAAAAACAAAAATAAAAAAATAAATCTTAAAAAAAGAAATGAATAAATATGTACTCTTTGGGGTATTTCCAGAAGGAAACATACACACACAAACCCACATCACAGATAACTTTGTAAGATATGGCAGCTTTAATCCTGAACCCTGTCTCCAACATGATGGGGGTGGGGTGGGGAGACCAGAGGAGAAGCTGAGCAATATCCCCCATCCCAGGCGTCTGCCACCTCCTCCTTTCCAAGCCAAGTGTGTGCCAAACCCCTGCAGGGACTGCGTCAAGGCGAGCTGTCCCAGGGGGCCCAGGACCCAGAGGCAGCAGGCTGCTCTTCCTCCCGCCTCTCCATCTCAGTCTCAAGGCTTCCCACTGCGCAGAAGTACACGGCCTCATCCTCGGGCCGCAGGTCAGAGATGGTCAGGTAGCCCCTGTTGCTGTCCAAATCCTTAGAGCCTGAGAAGCGAGGGGGCACCTGGGGGCCGCGTTCCTGATTGGTGTTCGTGAAGTGCTTCAGCAGGAATCGAGGCGGGTGGCCTGGCTTCTGCTGGTACCAGTAGATGCTGTGAAGGGCCACACTGTGGTCACGGCTCAGAGTGCAGGAGAGGCGGACCGTGGTGCCCAGGGCCGAGGACACGGCGGGCGGCTGGTGCAGTGCCGGCTGGGGATCACCACCTAGGGGGGCAAAGAGGCACGGTGGGGGAAGGGCCAGACCAAGACAAAGGAGGCAAAGGGGGGTCTTGGGTTCTAAGAGTTCCCTCACCGGTGCAGTGGGCAAGCAGCAGGAGCAAGATCGGAGTCCAGGACATGGTGGCGACCTGCAGAGTGCGATGTCCTGCAGCCACGTCTCCTGGCCAAGCCAGCATCCTCCTCCCTGCTCTGAGGGGCACGCCCCATTGGGCACGCCCCATTCCTGGTGGCCGCCATCCCAGGCTTCCTTGGCTTAGCAGCTGTGGTTGTAGGAACAGTTCCCGAGGTGCCTTTGGGGAGGAAGCACCTGCTGGAGGAAGCTCTCGGGCTGGGGGCCAGGAGGGCAGGCTGGAGGGTGGGCTCAGATCCCTCTTGGGAGTGAGTGCAATTCGTCCCCACCCCGAGGGAGCTGAACCCCACAGAAATAACTTTCCTATCCATAGTTCAATGGCAGAGAAGGCCTGCTTCATACACACCTAATGTCTGTGCCTTCTTCCACCCTGCCATCTTTTTTTTTTTTTTTTACCTTTTTAAAACTTTATATTGATTTTTGAAAGTTACAGAGGGAGAGACGGAGAATGAAAAAGATCTTCCATCCACTGTTTCACTCCCCAAATGGTCTAAATGGCTGGAGATGAGCTGATCTGAAGCCAGGAGTTGCTTCTGGGTCTCCCACATGGGTGCAGGGGCCCAAGGACTTGAGCCATCCTTGCTGCTTTCCCAGGTGCGTTAGTAGGGCACCGCCAGGTACACATTGGTGCCTATATGGGATGCCAGTGCTGCAGGTGGAGGATTAGCCCCCTAAGCCACTGGGCCTGCCTCCGTCTTAGTAATTTTTCGGCCATGGGGTCACAAGGTTCTTTTCTGTCTACTCAGACGTTTTTCGGTTGACATTCAGCAGCTGTCGGTGTGCAGCTCTTCACTTTTGTTAGTTTATTCTTCAGAATTTTTTTTTTTTAAAGATTTATTTTTATTATTTTTTCATTGGAAAGGCAGATATACAGAGAGGAGAGACAGAGAGGAAGGTCTTCCGTCCGATGATTCACTCCCCAAGTGAGCGCAACGGGCCGATACTATGCCGATCCGAAGCCAGGAGCCTCTTCCGGGTCTCCCACGCGGGTGCAGGTTCCCAAAGCCTTGGGCTGTCCTCGACTGCTTTCCCAGGCCACAGGCAGGGAGCTGGAAGGGAAGCAGGGCTGCCGGGATTAGAACCGGCGCCCATATGGGATCCCGGGCGTGCAAGGCGAGGACCTTTAACCACTTGCGCCACCGCGCCGGGCCCATATTCTTCAGAATTTTATCCTTTTTGGTGCTACTGAGTGAATTCAGTGAATCAGATTTTCTTCATTTCCTTTTTGGATAATTCGTTGGTTTATAAATATGATTGTTCTTCGTATTTTGACCTTATACTCTCCAACTTTACTGAATTTGTCTACTATTCTTTTTTTAAGTTTTATTTATTTATTGGAAAGTCAGATATACAGAGAAGAAGATCTTATGTCCAGTAATTTACTCCCCAAGTGGTCACAACGGCCAAAGCTGAACCGATCAAAAGCCAAGAGCCAGGAGCTTCTTCCAGGTCTCCGACGTAGGTGCAGGATCCCATGGCCTTGGGCCGTCCTCAACTACTTCCCCAGGCCACAATAAGGGAGCTGGATGGGAAGTGAGGCCGTCAGGATTAGAACCGGCACCCATATGGGATCCTGGCACATGCACAGCGAGGACTTTAGCCACTAGGCTATCGCACCGGGACCTTGTCTACTATCTTTTTTTTTTTTTAAGATGCATGCATTTTTATGGGAAACTCTCAGAGCGCTGATATTTGATAGGTTTGTGGGCACCGTGTGTGTGTCCCCAGACAACGAGGTACCAGCAGTCCCTGAGGTATCCAGCCCTGTTAACCGCAGCCTGATAATAGCACGGAACTCCATCTGCGCTCCTTGCACCCCCGTCCTTTTTTCTCTCATACCTCTCTTACTCCAACCCTCAACCACCAGCACCCCAAGCTCCTCAAAACAGCTTCCCTCCGCGAACTGTCCTTCCCACATAGGACTGACGTAAGATCCACTGTCCACCCCCTGCTCACCCCCAAGAGTCAAGGGCACCTCTCTAGCTTGTCTGGGGCAAGGTCAAATACACACCCTTTTGATGAGGTCTTAAACACAGATGCTCCAACTACACCTTCTTGGTTAGCTGAAACTGTCAATGTTTATCCCCCCGGAGACGACGTACAGAGGAAGGCGTTTGTGGTTTGGATAACTGAGACTTCCTGCTTGCAAAACAAACCCATGTGCCACTTGTGGGCCTCCTTGCTATGAAGTCCAAAATGGAACTAGCAGTCCAAGACACTCCGACCTTGTGATGTGAAGCGCTCTCTCTCTCTCTCTCTCTCTCTCTCTCTCTCGTGCAACAGCTAAATAAAATCTTCTCTTCCATGAAGCGTTAAGCCCCCCTGGGGGCCCGGCACAATGGCAGAGCAGGTAAATGCTGTAATGCTAGCATCCCATATGGGCACCGGTCGGTGTACCAACTGCTTCACATCCAAACCAGCATCCTTGTTGACATCTTGGGAAAAGCAGCGGAGGATAGTCCAAGTCCTTGGTGCCGCCATTGGGGATTTGGCTGATGCTCTTGGCTTCTGCTTGGCGTAGCCCTGACCGTCACAGCCGTTGTAGCCATTCCTGGAGTAAACCAGCAGATAGAAGCTCTCTCTCTCTCTGTGTAACTCTGCATTTCACATCAACCAATCTTTAAAAAAAATAACAGTAATAAAAGACACCACTTGGAACACATACGCCCCCAGAGTGTTGGGGTTCAGGTCCTGGCTTCCGGCCAGGCACATCCTGGGAAGCAGCGGATGATGGTTCCTGCGGTCAGGTCCCTGCCACTCACAGGGGAGACCTGGATGGAATTCCTTGTTCCCAGGCATCTGGAGAATGGACCAGAGGAAGTTCTCTGCCTGCCTCTCTGCCCCTCAAATAGAATATATAACAAATGTTTCCTTAGTTGGTGGGGAAAGCAGAATGAGAAGATGCACTTAGTTGTATAAAACTTCCCGGTGTATTTTAGGGGGGGGGGGGGCGGAGCAAAAAACAAGCAGGTGGTTTGGTCAAGGCGTTAAGTGTCCAGAGGCAGATCTCAGATGTGTCTCAGACGTGATTGTGTTTGGGTACAGCTGCCAAGGCAGGTGCCCACGGCAACCTTGATATCAAAGGCACAGTAGGAGAACATGGACCACATTAAAGCTTTGGCGGCTCCAGCAAGAGTTATTTCTAAAATAACCTGATGGTCTGGACTCACCAGCCCCACCCCCAACCCAGGTCTGAGGGGTCCCTGAGCTTCAGACTGACCAAGGCCTGAAGGTGGGAACTAGGTCATGAATGGAGGGTGGAGCCAGTGTCAGGTGTTGTGATGGCCAGTCAGGGACAGACACTGACCCCAGGGAGTCTGACCGCTCCTGCCTCTGCCCCAGGCTCATGGAGATGAGTAGCCCGGCCCTCCCCAAGCTCTTGGACCTGGCAGCCCACAGCCTGCTGAGCAGCAAGGCCCCGGGAATCCCTGCCTTGGAGGAGTTCACGGTGGACCTGTTCCCCCCACTGCTCACCGCAGCCTTTGCCAGGGGTCACAAACAGGCCCTGAAGGCCCTGGTGCGGGCATGGCCCTTCCCCTTCCTGCGCCTGGGTTCTCTGATCGTGCAGTGGCCTAACCAGGACAGCCTGCAGGCTGTGTTGGATGGCCTGGAAGACTCGCCTTGCCCTGACCCCAGCCCTGGGGCTTGGCCCAGGTGAGGCATGGCCTAGAATCCTGGGAAGCGGGGAGTCTGTGAGGGATGGGCTTGTCACCCGCCCCCCCCCCCCCGGGGACTGTGGTGCAGGTAATGTGAGAGGCAGGGGGCTGAGGAGGGGCCCAGAGCAGAGGATGCTGGGATCTGAGGGCAGGCCCTGGGCATCCTCCTGCTACACTGTCCCTCCCCACCTGCCCCATCCTCTCATCCCTGCCCCTCTATGCAGCAGATCAGAACTGCGGGTGCTGGATCTGACCCTTGACTTCGAGCAGGTCCAGAGCAAAGGGGCCACAGAGGCCTTGGCCAGGTTCCCCTTCTGGCTGCCGTCCACCGTTAAGGCGGAGGCGTCCCAGCCGGCAGCCGGGCCCAAGCTGGGCGAGAACATGAGGAGAGGCCGGAAGCAGCCGTGGGAACCTGTGGAGCTGCACATTGACCTGTTCCTGCGAGGCCCCTTCAAGCTGGACACCTTCCTCTCTGGCCTGCTGAGCAAGGTGGAGCGGAGCTGCGGGGCACTGCTCCTGTGCTGCCGGAAGCTGCACATCGAGGAGATGCCCTTCAGCAGTCTCATCGGCATCCTGAAGACGCTGCAGCTGGACTGCATCCACGAGCTGGAGGTCTTCGACTGGTTCCGGGCGCTCTCTGAGCAGAGTCTCTTTGCCACACAGCTGGGCAGGATCTGCAACCTGCACAGCCTCAAGCTGGCCTACTACCACTGGACCTTCTCCCCTGAGGATGAGCAGTCCTCCAGCTACTTCCTGTCCCAGCTCAGCAAGCTGGGCCACCTGCAGAAGCTTCATCTCTCCTACTCCTATCTCTCTGGCAACCTCCACCAAGTGCTCAGGTGAACCGGGGTGGGCAGGGGCTTCCCAGGAGTCCCCCACTCTCCCAAAGCAAATCATGGGAAGAGACAAACCCATTCTTTTTAAGATTTATATAGGGTTTAGGCAATGGTTCAATTGGCTAACCTTCCCTTCCCAAACACCAGGATCCCACATGGGCACCTGTTCATGTCCCAGTTGCTCTACTTCCCATACAGGTCCCTGCTTGTGGCGTGGGAAAGCCACTGAGGATGGTCCAAAGCCTTGGGCTCCTGCACCCTGAAAGACAGAAGAATCTCCTGGCTCCTGGCTTTGAAGCTTTTATTTTAATTGAAAAGGCAGATTTTATGAGAAAAAGAGAGAGAGAAATATCTCCCATCCAATGGTTCACCCCCCAAATGGCTGCAACAGCCAGAACTGAGCTGATCCAAAGCCAGGAGCCAGGATCTTCTTCTGGATCTCCCAGGTGCATGCAGGGGTCCAATGCTTTGGGCCATTCTCCTTTGCTCCATGGGGAAATATGCATATTAGTAGGCACTGCTACTAAAAACAAAGCAAAACAAAATTGCAACAAATTTAAAGATCCTGCTGGCTTTTACTGACAACTGGGGGAGTCAGAGCGGACTCTGAGCCAGGAAGTGACTGTGTGGCTTGGAGAAAGCAGTAACAGGAAATGGAGAGCAAATTGGCTCTAGAAGGTGGTGCTGGGCCAAATCCCAGGGGCTTACTCCTCAGGCCGGCTCTGGTTAGTCCAGCCTCTTCCACCCACCAGCTATGAGCCTTCTTGGGTTTGCAGAAAACCAAGGTCAGGTAGCCCTTAGCCACATCAGTTCTACTCTAGTTTGGTCCAGTCTGCTGGGACCTGGTGCTGGGAGCCTGGTCCAGAACAACAGGCCTTGTAGCAGGTTAAGCCACCCTGTGTGTCCGTGGTATCCCCTGCCTGCGTGCCAGTTGGAGTCCTGGCCATTAAGCTAGGAAAGGTGGCAAAAGATGGTCCTTGCCATCCACCTGAACAATCTGGGTGGCGTTCCAGGCACTTGGCTTTGGCCTGGCCCAGCCCTGTCTCGGGAGGCCATCTGGGGAGTGAACTGGTAGATGGATGATCTCTCTGTGTGTCTTTTAAATAAATCAATCTTTTTGAGAAATGAGACCTCTCGTAACTTGAAGTCTCCTTTATTTATTTGAAAGGCTAAGTTACAGAGAGAGTGTGTGAGAAAGACAGAGAGACAAACGGACAGAGAGAGAGAGAGAGAGAGAGAGAGAGAGAGAGAATCTTCCATCTACTGCTTTCTTTCACAAATGCTCACTACAGGGTCAGGCCCAAGTCGGGAATGTAGAACTCCAGCCAGATCTCCAGCGTGGACAGCAGGGGCCCAGGCACTTGAGCCATCCTCCACTGCCTTCCAGAGAAGCATTAGCAGGGAGCTGGCTGGATCTGAAATGGAGCAGCCAGGACTTGAACTGGCGCCCTTAAGGGATGCCAGCGCTGCTCAGTGACTTCCCTCTGGGAAGGAGGATGTGGGTGCACCCCTGAATCAGCCGCCTTCCCTTCACAGCTGCCTGCAGGCCCCACTGCACACCCTGGAGATCCGTTCCTGCACCCTCCTGGACACAGACATCACCTACCTGGCCCAGAGCCTGCATACCACCTGCTTGACGAAACTGGATCTGAGTGGCAACAACCTGTCCTATATGGTGCCTGGGCCCTTAGAGCCCCTGCTGGCTAAGGTGTCAGGGACGCTAGAGCACCTGGACCTAAACCACTGCCGGCTGAAAGATTCCCACCTGGGCGCTATCCTGCCAACCCTGTGCCGCTGCTCCCACCTCAGCTCCCTGGGACTGTCTGACAACCCTGTGTCGCGGGTCGGCCTCCTGAGCCTGTTGGAGCACACGGCCACTGGCCTGCGGGAGCTTAAACGGGTGCTCTACCCGATCCCAGTCGAGTGCTGTGTGTACCTGCATGGCCTCTCGTGGGGGCCGGTCAACAAGGACAAGCTGGGCCAGGTGCAGGCCGAGATGCAGGCGCTGCTACAGGCTGTGCAGCGTACCGACATGCAGTGGAGCCCCCCGCTGCCCTCGCCCCTGCCCGTGCGGCTGGTGCAGCTTGACTGAGGGCCAGGCGTGAGGGTGGCAGGGAGGCCCCAGGCCTCCTGGCTGGACGCGGATTGGTTGCCGGGAACATAAAAGAACCGTGCGGGGGAGCTGTCCAGTGCTGCTTTCTTGGCTTCTTCCTGTGCCCATTCCCCTCTCAGTCCAGTGCCCCTGCCCTTCACTACCCCTTCCTTCTGGCCACACGCAATCTTGCTGATTTCCTCTGCTTCTGGATAGAATGAAATTGGACCCTGAGTGACCTGCCCAGTTTCTGGGTCATCATCTGACCTCCTGCCAACCCCCTGGGTAAGGAGGGGCCAAGGTAGCCTGAGAATTCTTTGGGTGGTCCCTGAGTGTGTCCCAGGCCTCGTGGAACTGCTGGCATTGGCCTGGCACACATCCGCTAGGATGTCCATGCAGCAGGGTCCAGTCACAGAAAAAGCGCCAGTGAGTTTGGCGGGGATGGGGATGGCAAAGAAGTACTTCCGGGTCAGAGACAGCTGAGCTGAGGCCAGCTGCTGCAGAGGCAGTGGGGGGACATCTGGATATGGGCACACTTTGGGCCAGTGAGTTTGGAGTTACCCTGTGTAGCTTGCCAGGGCCACATGGGGGGGTGTACAGTCGAGGCTGACTCCTGCAGGAGACCCAAGGAGAAGGAGGGGGAGGACTTGGGAGGGACCAGAACCCACACCAGAGCTGCCCAAGAGTCCTGGTCTGCCTGTGACCTTCCACCACCCCCACCCCCATCTTTGCCAAAGAGCCCCTCTTAGTCACCAGCCTAGGCGCCAAGGACATGTAAAGACGCTGGCCTCGGTCTCCCACCAGGATGCAGCCCATGGCAGGCTCAGCCCCTCTGCTGGTTCCCCCAAGCCCTACAGAGTCCCGTGCAGGCTAGGAGAGGGACTCCTGCTGGGGACACAGTGGCGGAGGTCCTCATGCACCCCCATCCTCTTATCGCTCCATTCACCAGCCACACACACTGAGGACCCGCTCAAAGACCCTGCAGCCATCTTGGCTGGTCATGCGAGCCATTTGTCGAACCCCAGGTATTTCCGCAAGGGCCAAGGACACAGCACAGTGAAGGCCGAGTCCCCAGTGCTGCTTGCACGTGAGCAGACTGGCAGATCAAGGTCAGGCCTCGGAGCCTGCAGGTGTGGTGTGGAGTTGGGAGAGATTCCTGAAAGAGGCAGGGCAAGGTGGCTATGAGTTTGCCCGTGTGGGCATGTGGGCAGAGACCAGAAGGGGAGCCATTTTCTCCAGGCAAAGGACCGAGCAGGTGTGTTTTGGAGGAACTCTGTGACTTGGAAACATTGGCTTGGGGCAGGATGCATAGCCTTGCCTGTGCTTAAGATTCATGCACGTCCCCAGACCTTGGCTCTGATTCCAGTCCAACCCAACTCTCCTGTGACACAGCCAGGCGGGCATGTAATGGCTGTTGGTCTGTGTACCTGCCACAACACCATCCCTTGCAGCCAACCTCTGGCGACACCTTCCCCAGGGTATACTGGCATCACTGCTGCCTGCTGGGAATCCTTGGTGACATTGCCAGCCATGACCCTGCCCTGTTGTTTCCTTTCTGCTGCCCCCAGTCCCTGTTGCCTGTTGCTAACTTAGTGAGACACGGATTTCCCTGAGACCCTCCTGCTGCTCTGGGAGAGTGTGTGTGAAGCTTAGCATGGGGTTAGGCGTACTGGATCTGCCAGTCATACGAGCCATCTGTGCCCCAGTCTCTCGTTGCTTTGCATTGTCCCCTGCCTGGCAGAGCTGCAGGTGTGTGCAAAGCAAGTCGTATGCTCAGAAGAGACACAGGCAAAGAGGACCAGGCTTCTGCCAAGAAACCTGGGAAAAAACACTTTCTTCTTCTTTTAAAGATTTATTTGTTCTAATTGGAAAGTCAGATTTACTGAGAAGAGAGATCTTCCATCTGCTGTTCACTCCCCAAGTGGAGCTAAGATAATCTGAAGCCAAGAGCCAGGAGCTTCTTCCAGGTCTCCCACCTAGATTCAGGGTCCCAAGGTGCAGGCTACAAGCAGGGAGCTGGATGGGAAGTGGAGCAGCCAGGATACGAACCCATGCCTATATGGGATAGCAGCAGCACATACAAGGAGAGGACTTTAGCCATTAGGCTACGGTGTCAGGCCCAGAAGACCTGCTTTCCAAGAGCCCAAGCCAACTGAGTGGGGCCTGGCTGGGAGGTTGTTGGAAGGACACAGCAGGCAATTCCCACAGCCTTCTGGAGACTGGTGGCAGCCTGGGCCGATTTGACTCGACTCGCTGTGCCACAAACGCCGGCCCCAAGCGCTTTTTGACGTTGCATTTCATATTGCACGCAGCACCCATTCGTTCCTTCCGCAAATGCTGATCCCAAGGAAAGGGAGTCTGCTACACACGTCTGTAGGTGTAATCATCGCCGTCATGGTGGTTGTCATTCTTGTCCGGATGGCGACGTCTGGGATCCGCAACCCCGATCTCCCACAGCCCGAGGACACCGGCCGGACTGGAGTTGGGGGGTCGAGAGACAAGAGAGGGCGCTCCCGGAACGCTGGAGCGGCGGAACCCACACGCACTGGCTTCACGAGCGTCGGAGGGAGCTTCCTGGCACGCCGGGCGCGGGGGACGCCAGAAACAGCCGGACCCGGAAGTGGAGGGTGGCAGTGGCCGCCTGGGGAAGCAGGAGCCAGAACCGCGGTCAGCGAGAGGGGACGGCGGGTGAGTGGGGACCGCGGGTGGAACCCCGGGAGGGCGAGGGGAGAGCAAGGGGCTGCTCGTGGGGCAGCGACTGAGAAGGGAGCCCGGGAGGGCGAGGGGCTGCTCGCGGAGGCGGGACGCGCAGGTTTGGCCCCGAGTGCTTGGCGCGGGCAGGGGACACGGTCCCCCGGGGGGCTGGCCAGGGTGGCCCGGCTGAGGACACGGTCCCCCCGGGGGGCTGGCCGGGCTGACCCGACTGAGGACACGGTCCCCTCGGGGGGCTGGCCAGGGTGGCCCGGCTGAGGACACAGTCCCCTCTCCCGGGGTCTGACCGAGGTGGCCCAGGGAGGCGGTGCGTGGCCTCGGAGGGGCCAAGTGTCCGCAGGGATGGCAAACCCGGCTTGCCCGCCCCCTGGCTGATGCGGGCAAGGTTGAATGGAGGCTTCCAGGGAGGAATACCAAGCCCCCCCCCCCATGCTGGTCCCAGCCCAGGCTGGAGAAGAGGCCACGTTTTGTCCCTTACACCCACCCGCCAGTCCCAGCTGGGCGCACTGACCAAAGTCACCGGACACTACTCACGTTACTGGTGGTCTGAAGCAATGACAGTCCCCCACCCCACGTCCCACCCCTGTAAAGGACACTGGGTGTATGGCCGGTGTGGGCGTGGGAAATGAGATTTCTAGGCATGTGATGTGGGGACTCACACAAGAAATGGACTAAGCAAGTGCAGGCAAAACGAGACTTTGTCGATCGCCGTCTTGCGGGGAGCAGGTGTTGGGGGAGCAGGTGCCTCCTGCACTGGGTTGTATCCCAGTAGGCAGGTCCCACCTCTCGGTGCCTCCTTGGCAGAGTACCAGGGGTGTACAGTCTTTCCCGAGGAGGCAGCTGAGTGACAAAGTGACCTCCATCTGTCGTCCTGGGTCCTTTCATGTCTTCTCCTGAACTGACTGCTTTCCTAATGTCCCATAGACTCGTGAGGTTTGCTGCATTTGTGATTCTCAGTTGTTTAACGTTCTGTGGCAGAGCTGGAGCACCATTTTATTTTTAAGATATTTAGGTTTATTGGAAAAACAGATTTACAGAGAAGAGAGACAGAGAAAAAGATCTTCCATCTGCTGGTTCCCTCCCCAAGTGGCCACAAACGGCTGGGGCTGGGTTAATTTGAAGCCAGAAGTCAGGAGCTTCTTTTGGGTCCCACATGGATACAGGGTCTCAAGGCTTTGGACCATCGTGTACTGCCTTCTCAGGCTACAGGCAGAGAGCTGGAAGGGAAGAAGAGCAGCTGAGACACAGACCGGTGCCCATTTGGAATCCTGGCACAAGCAAGGTGAGGACTTTAGCCGCTAGGCTACTGCGCTGGGCCCCAAAATAAATAAATCTTTAAAAAAAAAAAAAAAAAGACCAACAGAGAGCATGAACTGCCATCTACCAGTACACTCCCTACACCCAAATGGCCGCAATGGCCAGGGCTAGACCAGCCAAGCCAGGCCGAAACTGGGAGCCAGGAGTGGAGCGCCCTGTGGGTGGCAGAAACCCGATTACCATCCCCAGGGCCTCCCAGGGCCTGCATCAGCAGGAAGCTAGAATTCGGAGCCCGAACCAGGACTTGAATCCAGGCATTCAGACGTGGAGCCTCGAGTGGCCTAACCACTGGGCGGCACAGCTACCCCAGGAGCACGTGTGTCTGTGGAGCCCACGCTTACAGGTGCCTGGCCAAGGTGACTGACTAGCTGTTGCTCAGGATGCCAGGTGGACACGTGCTCTGAAACTGGGTGTTCCTCATGGGCCCCAGCGTGCGCTGCCCAGCGTCAGGCCTGCTCCTGGTGACTGAGACCATCTCCGGCCCCAAGGGAGGCTGGGTCTCCTGGAGGTGACTTGTCAGCCTATTCACTATTCATCAGAAAACTCAAGATCTTGGGTAGGAAGGAAATGGTAGAGACGGGAAAGTCTCGGCATCCTTGGCACCATAGAGGGAAACACTGCCAAGGGGAAGTATTTTCAATGGCTTTACAGATTTAAAATCAATATACACACACACACAGATACAGATGTATATCAATATAGATACAGCCACACCCCCGTCCCCAGAGGCAGCCCCACCAGTCTTCTGTCTATATCTATCTATCTATCTATCTATCTCTATATAAAATATGTGTGTGTGTGTTGATTTTTATTTGAAAGGTAGAGTTAACAGAGATCTTTCATCTGTTGGTTCACTCCCCAAATAACTGCAATTGCCAGAGGAGCTGAGCTGATCCAAAGCCTGGAACCAGATGCTTCCTCTGGGTCTCCCATGCGGGTGCAGGATCCCAAGGCTCTGGGCTGTCTTCGAC